AGCGCGCGGAAGGACATTTTGACAATTTTTTCTGAGAAAACCATTGGGTTTTTGATGTTTTTATGTTAAAATCGTTACGAAACCTAAGGTTTTGGAAGGATTTCGTCTTGCGCGCACGAATGTCCACTTTACCTTATTTTTTGCAAGGGATTCTTGCAATTTGATCAAGTAAAAACAAGAATTTTCATTTTCTATTGTTTTTTGCAAGGGAAAACGAGCGTCAACAAAAAACCGGATCCGGAGCTCATCCACTTTTCTGAAGCTTTCGCGAACAAATGATGAAAATGTAGCTGCGGCCTAGGCGCGGCGCAGAGGTCGCGCACCAGGGGTCCAACAACAACAACAACAACAACAACAACAACCATTTTAAGGCTGTACGCTCTTACTTGCCCGCGAGTCATTCAACACGTATACCCTACACCCTCGATGCCCGCCCTCTTCGTCTTCGATCACACCCCTTTCGGGGGGATTATTTCTCTTTGCTGGGGCCGGCGGGCTTAGACGTACGGGCAAACCGGAACGGGCGGACAATCCTTCGGGGGCGTACATCTCTCTGCCCGCCATTGGAATTGGCGCGGGCCCTGCAAGAGGAGGAGGGGAAGAACGAGGGAGAGTGGGAGGAAGGGGAGGGGGAAGGACGAAGGAAAGAGGGAAGATACCACGTTGTGAAGGCGTCCTTGGCGCGTGCGTGGTTCCTGAGCGCCGAAACGCAATTCCAGAATAATTTGTGAGAACGTCGCACGCGAGAGCGCAGTCCTGAGTACATTGTGAGGAAATCTCAGGCGGAAGCGGGGGCCCTGACTAAGTTGCGAGGAAGTCTCAAGCGGGAGCGCCGTTCCTGAGCAAATTGCACGGAAGTCTCAGGCGGGAGCGGGGGTCCTCACTAAATTGCGAGGAAGTCTCAGGCGGGAGCGCCGTTCCTGAGTCAATTGCGCGGAAATGTCAGGCAGGAGCGGGGGTCCTGAGTAAAATTCGAAGAAGTCTCAGGCGGGAGCGCCGTTCCCACGTAAATTGCACGGAAGTCTCAGGCGGGAGCGGGGGTCTTGATTACATTGCGAGGAAGTCTCAGGCGGGAGTGCCTTTCCTGAGTAAATTGCGCGGAGGTCTCAGGCGGGAGCGGGGGTCCTGAGTAAAAATCGAGGAAGTCTCAGGCGGGAGCCGTTGTTGTTCTAGCCCGGGGGGCAGGGGCACAGTTTGAGCAGGAATACTTTCCTTAAGAAAAAACAAGGTGCGAGCCCCGGGGGTGGCACTTCAATCGAAAAAAATCAATGTGCACTGGTGGGGGGGATCAACAATAATTTTTCTTCAAGAATGAGAGTTCAACAACAACAACAACAACAACAACAACAACAACAACAACAACAACAACAACAACAAGCATAATCCCCACCTCGGATCCGCACTTCAGCCACGCACCCAGGGACAATGAATGACCGTTCGGCCCCCTCACTCTGATGTCACCCAAGGGATTCCTCCAAAGCCCAGGGCCACGAAATCGGGAACCCAAGGCCCCGGGCATACGGACGCCCACCGGAAACGGCGGTGAGCTTTCGCAAAAGCCTTTCAATATCCGCGGGGGCCTCTTCAGTGCAAGCATTGATCAGGGAAAGGCGTAAATGATCGAGAAGATCACCTCATCCCGAATCGCTTATTGACAGCCCTGGGACCCAAAAACTTCTTTAGAAATATCCAATAACGGCATGATTATAATTTCTTGGTGGTCCGCGCGACTTTTTTAGATTGGCGCTAGACCCCCTCCCTGGCGCGCGGAGCGTGGGGCGGCGCCGGAGGCACCTACGCCGATCCAAAAAGTCCTGTCCGCCCGGATTATTTGTCGGGGCAAGCATTAAAAAACGGGCCCAGAGAGACACGAGTAAGTCAGCACAGATTAAATGGTTTGTCTTGGAGGGTCCAGACCCCCTCCCTTTTATTACGAAATCTGGAGTACCCTCCCAGGGATGTTCAACAGTATCCAACAAGCACTAAGAACACCACGGCACCCTCCCCGAACCGACCTCGATCCTATACCTCGGTGCGACTGCAGGCGGGTCGCCAGCGCGGCGCGCCACACTGGCCACGGGGGCGCCTAATTATGCGCAACCTTGCCTGGGCCGCTGGCGCGCAGACGTCGGCGTGGACGTATGGATGCAAGAGGGCAGACGCATGTCTCGGGGAGACGTACGACGCGGGTTCGGGGGACTCGGGTTGGCCCCACGGGGCCATCGTGAAGATGACGAGACCCAGTCTGAAAGTTGACGCGAACTGCCGCTGCAGACATCCCACGAGAATTGGACAATCAAAATCCAGGGCGCACTCGCCAAACAGCGTCGCAAAACCCGAGTTTTGGCGCACTCGAGCCTTACGAGTCCCCGAATGTCGTCGTGGGTTTGCTTACGCGTCGTAGTGTTCGATCGATGCTTCGACTTCGTGCGCTTGTGTTGTTCGTTAGATGGCCCAATCTGCTTCTCGATGGCCCTCGCCGAAAAAATGCACACGTCCAACAGATGCCAAGCTGTCGTCGAGGGTACCACTTCTTCATTCCGCATCGCCCCCTGGCGGCCCCCGGGCCCAGCGACGACCTCCAGGCGCAGAGAAGCGAACGACGCCTTTAGCTGCCTGCTGCGATTCTCGGAGAAACGCCGGGAGTGTGCCCGGGGCTGAGGACCACATCTCATGAGTAATTCAGAGCATGCAGAACAGTATCGAAACACGTTGTGCCCCACACGCTGGCGAAGCATCGAACCAGTCTCGCCTCTCGGGGCCCGTCAGGTGAAAACCCTCCGGTTTCGGTAGTTCCCTGGTGCTCGAAACTCTTCCTGGGGATGAAGGCTACAGCAGCTTGGAACATCATAAACCTTGGGACCTCGATCCTCTGAGCATTGTTTGGGCGATCCCTACGCCCACTACTGGGCTGGCCTGGGCCTCACTGGCCGACGTACACCTTTGGATGGAGATTGGTTTCCAACGTGGGTCTGTTACTATAAAAAGGGTCGTGAAACAAACGTTGAAACACATATAATGCGTATCTGTGCATGTGCGGTCTGGCAAATCGGGGCGGCATCAACGCGACGCCAGTGGGCGTCGTGGACTCGAGCCTTTAGCCTGGAAGCACGAAGCGCACGATTACCCACATCATGAAGTTCTGCAGCCGGTCACTGCGTTCTGTCTGGGGGGGGGCGCACGGACACGCAGAACAGTGTTCAGCTAATCGTTAGCCGGCGCCCGCCTCAAGCTCATGCCCCATCCCCCGCCGCCTCCCAATATCCCTTCGCTTCGGCCCCGCTCTCCTCATGTCCCTCCGATAACCCCCGGCCCTCATCATGCCCGGGAGATCCACTGGCGCACTTTCCCTAAAACCTCCTCCCCCCCTCCTCCTCCTCCTCCTCCTCCTCCTCCTCCTCCTCCTCCTCCTCATCCAGCCTCCTCCTCCACAAAGCCTCCTCCTCCTCCTCCACAAAGCCTCCTCCTCCTCCTCCCTCCTCCCTCCCTTTCTCCTCCTTCTCATTATCCTCCTCCTCCTCTTCCTACTCCTCCTCCTCCTCTCCTCCTCCTCCTCCTCCTCCTCCTCCTCATCCAGCCTCCTCCTCCTCCTCCTCCCTCCCTCCCTCCCTCCCTCCCTCCCTCCCTCCCTCCCTCCTCTCCTCCTCCTCCTCCTCCTCCTCCTCCTCCTCCTCCTCCTCCTCCTCCTCCTCCTCCTCCTCCTCCTCCTCCTCCTCCTCCCCCTCCCCCTCCCTCCTCCTGCGAATGGGCGAGTGGGGTCGATGCATCCCCCACCGAGCCTATCCCCCTTCCTTTCGTTGCCCCCTGGGGGCGGGATGGCACGAGGTCGTAGTCGTAGTAGTCGTCGTAGTTAGGGGGCAAACAAACCTACCTCGCTTTTGACCACCCTCGCTTCCAAGAGATACCAAGCGATGCCTTTTTACGGCACGGGACCCTTGACGCTCCGAAGGCCCAACATCGAGTGCCGTCCGAAACCGACAGCCGCCCCTGCTGGGCAGGCGGCCCTCTGCCTCAGACGGGCCACGGCCACGGCGACGCCGACCACGAGCCCTGTTCAGAAGGACCTGGCGCTGCTCCCGGACTGCTCTGTACCCCTTGCTTCGGTACCAGCTTCGATCGCCCCGAACGACGGCGCCGGCCGACCTCGCAGGGCCGTCGGGGATCTTTTGACCCAGGTCAATCCAGACCCGGGTCAGCCAAGCCCTGCAGAATCCTGCCAGATCCTGCACCCGCACCCGGGTCAACGCGGAGGACCCTGCGGGCTCCTGCAGGACCCTGCACCCGCACCCGGGTCAGTGCGACCCTGGCGCTGCAGGCTCCTGCAAGATCGGGCGCTCTGGCCGACCCGGGCGTTCGCCATTGACCCCCGTCGCGAGGCCCCCGAGGCCGGCCCGGCCGGCCTGGCCCCGCTGGGCGCCCTCGTAGCAGAAGCCGTGCGCCGTGGCGGTCGTGAGCAGCAGCGGCGGCGAGGCGTCCACGCACCGCTGGAGCAGCGAGGCCGCCCCTGCCAGGGGCAGGCCGCCGCCGGCGCCGCCGCCGCCGCCGACGTCTGCGCTGCCCGCGCCGCAGGCCCCGGGCCTGCTCTGAGACCACAGGAGGAGGAGGGGGAGGGGGAGGAGGAGGAGGAGGAGGAGGAGGAGGAGGAGGAGGAGGAGGAGGAGGAGGAGGAGGAGGAGGAGGAGGAGTGCCAATGCTTCGCAGCTCCCCTTTTGTAGGGGGATCCTGAGACCCTCACAGAGCGATCCGGCTCGAAGCATGCAACGGAGAGATCGGGCCAAGGAGTCTTGTCGGGTGGTTTGAATGCTGCAGCTATTTCGTGACGTCGGCTCTCCGTGCGACAGCCACCGTTCGTGGTCACCGCCGCCGCCGTCGTCTCTGAGAGCGAGGAGCGTGATGATGATGCTGCTGATGATGACGCTTATCATGATAATGAAGCTAGTGATGCTGATGCTGATGCTGATGCTGCTGCTGCTGCTGATGATGATGATGATGGTGATGACGAGAAGGAGGAGGACGAGAAGGAGGAGGAGGAGGAGGAGGAGGAGAAAGGAAACCGGAATAGGGCTGGGGCGTTCCAGTGGATCCCCAAGACCATACCGCGTAGACGTAGACGATTCGCAGAGTGTGCGTCGGCGATGTCAGGATGGAGAAGGCCGGGTTCCAAATCGCGCCGCAACGCTGGTGACTGAGCGACGTGGTAGCCAAACGCGGAGAGATGCATTGGCGGTGCGCACGAGGGGGTAGGGGGAGGGGGGACGGCTTCTTAGAAGGAGGCCGCTTCTTAGACAAGGCCCGCGCATTCTAAGACGCAGGGGTGTTTCTAAGAAGCCTTCGCCCTCCACAGCTAAACAAGATGCATACTGCTCACTACTCTCCCTCCTCCCCTGAAGTTGCCCTGAAGATCTCCCGCCCCCGTTCGGGGGCTTTTTTACACACAGGGTTTCACGCATGTATGTTCTTATGGTTTTTACCATCCACTTGTATTCGGTGTTGCAGAATGGTGCTCCCGCTGCAGCGTGGGCCTCATGTTCGGATCGGCGCGTTGCTCTCATCGTTCAGAACGGTGCTCTCGCCCAAGCGCGGGCCACTTTTTGCTTGGGGATCCGAATCCTGCCTCATTGTGGCTCCCCCCATCATTTCCCCTCCTCCGCCTCCCCCTTGTCCTCCTGTTCCTCCCGCTGCTTGCACTCCAGTTCCTGCTACAGTTCGTCTCGCCCAAGCGCGGGCTGCTTTTCTGAATCCCATGAATTATTCAAGGGCTCCTAGCTTCGCGCTTCGCGCTGTGCGAAGCGCGAATAACTTCGCGCTTTTGCGCCCCCCCACCCCACCCTGGGACAAGACGAGGGGCTCGCGAAGCGCGAATAACTTCGAGCCTTTCGCGCTTCCCCCCCGGGGGACAAGACAAGGGCGTGGGGCGATGGGAGAGTCCGAGGCCCGCAAGGCATGCAGAGGATGAGGACTGAGGTGGACGTGGGGACAGAGGACGATAAGGGAGGAACGCCGGCCCTCGGAGTTGGGAATGCTTTTCGTAAGGAGCCCAGTGATTTCTGATAAGGTCTTCGTAAACTCAAGAGAAGTCTTTCGAGCGGAGACCAACACATTCGGAGTAGGTTTCGCACGGAGCCCCAGGAGTCTGGATATGGTTTTCGTAGGGCGCCCAGTTGGTTAGGATAAGGTTTTGGTAGAGGGCCCCAAGCATTCCGATGAGATCTTCGCGCAGGGCCCAAGAAATTCGGATTAGGTTTTCGAGCGGCGCCCATGGAGCTCGGATATGGTTTTCGCATGGGGGCCAGTGAGTGAGGAGAAGGTTTTCGCAGGGGGGCCCAAGAATTATGATGAGGTTTTTGCGCAACGCCCAAGGAATTCGAAGGAGGTTCGCAAGGGGTAATAAGCTACGATAAGGTTTTCGTCGGGGGCCCGAGAGTTAGGATAAGGTTTTCGGGCGGATCCCAAGGAATTCCGATTTGGATTTCGCGCTCTGGGCCCAATGAATTAGGATAAGGTTTCCGAAGGCGGAAACAGGAGTTGGGATAAGGTTTTCGGGCGGAGCCCAGGGAATTCGGACTAGGTTTTCGCGCGGAGCCCATGGAGTTCGGATATGGTTTTCGTAGGGCGGCCAGCGGCTTAGGATAAGGTTTTCGTCGGGGCGCCCAGGAGTCAGGATAAGGTTTTCGGAAGGAGCCCAAGGAATTCGGATTATGTTTTCGCGCGGAGCCCATGGAGTTCGGATATGGTTTTCGTAGGGGGGGCAGTGAGATAGGATAAGGATTTCGTAGGGGGGCTGGGAGTCAGGATAAGGTTTTCGGGCGGAGCCCAAGGAATTCAGAGTAGGTTTTCGCGCGGAGCCCGTGGGGTTCGGATAGGGTTTTGGTAGGGGGGCCAGTGAGATAGGATAAGGATTTCGTAGGGGGGCTGGGAGCTAGGATAGAGAATTCGGGCGGAGCCCTTGGAATTCGGATTAGGTTCCGCGCGGAGCCCATGGATTTTGAAAACCTTCGTCTAACTCATCTCCCCCCCTGCGGAAACCAGATCCACACTCCGCGGGCTCCGCGCGAACCCCTAATCCGAATTCCAGGCGCGAAAAGTATATCCAAATTCCCTGGGCTCCCGTAAGAAAAACGTCGCCTCACTCACTGGCCTGCCTACGAAAACCTTGTCCAAGCTCCAAGGGCTTGGCGCGAAAACCTACTCATAATTCCTTGGGCCCCACGCGAAAACCTTATCCTAACGCCCTGGGCCGGCTACGGAAACCTTATCCAAACTCACTGCCCCCCATACGAATTACATACCCAAACCCCACGGGCTCCGCGAAAACCTACTCTGAATTCCTTGGGCCCTGCGCGAAAGCCTTATCCTAACGCCCAGGGCTCGCTGCGAAAACCTGATCCTCACTCACTGCCAAACTATGAAAACCTTATCCAAACTCGTTGGGCTCCGCGCGAAAACTTAGTCCAAACATCCAGGGCTCTGCGCGAAAACCTTATCCAAACGCCCAAGGCCCGCTGCGAAAACCTTATCCTAACTCACCGGCCCCACTACGAGAACCGTATCCACACTCCATGGGCTCCGAGCGAAAACCGGATCCGAGTTCCTTGAGCTCCATGCGACAACCTTGCCCTAACCCCTGGCCCCCTTACGAAAACCTCATCCCAACTCCAGGGGTTGCGCGCGAAAACCTACTCCGAATTCCGTGGGCTCAGCTCGAAAACTTGATCCTAACCCCTGGGTCCGCCTCCGAAAACCTCATCGTAACTCACTGGCCCCCTAAGAAAACCTGAACCAAACTCTAAGGGCTCCGCGCGAAGCGCGAACAACTTCGCGCCTCGCGCTGACGTCGCCCAGACCGCGAAGCCCGCGATGCAATCCCTCAATGGCCTAGCCCCAAGGATGCGAGGCGCGTCTACGTTCGCTCTGGAAGCCGTCGTAGGCTCAGACCGCGAAGCGCGAATAACTTCGCGCCTCGCTCTGACGTCGTCCAGACCACGAAGCGCGAATAACTTCGCACCCTCGAGGGAGCCCTTGATTATTCAGCTTTGTCGCTCCCCTCCCCTCACTTCCCCTCCTCCACCTTCCCCTGGTTCGCCTTACCCGCCTGGTCCTTCCGCTTTAGTTCCTGCTGCTGTTGCTCGTCGACATCCCTTCCCCCCGCTCATCTTCCTGCTCACCCGCCACCTCCTCCTCCTCCTCCTCCTCCTCCTCCTCCTCCTCCTCCTCCTGTGCACGAAGCTCCCCTTTCTGTTCGACTGCGCATCACACGAAGTGGTCTTTCAGTGTGAGTCGCAGGGCCGCCATGACGCGCGCCTGCCGGTAGAGACGCATCAGCGCCATGGGAAGGGACGGGGGCGAGGGATAGGATGTCAGACGAGGCGCGAGCGCGCCTGGCTCGCCCTGCCCCCCCTGCGCGCGTGGCCGAGGGCCCCTCCCGATGCGACGCAGCTCAACCGCGAGAGCCTGGCGCCAGTGCCCGCGGTGCCCGCGTCGGGCGTGGAGCGCAGCCGTCGCCGTCGTGGAGAGCGCCGCCGTCGTGGAGCGCACAGCCGTCGTCGAGCAGCCCTCGCCGACGGCGTCGGGGCGACGCCCCGGTCGTGGAGCGGGGCCCCCCCGCCGGTCGCGGAGCGAGACCCACGCCGTCGCGACGCGTCTGCGTCTGCGGCCGCGCGGGGCCCCGCCCGCGCGCGCGCGCGCCCAGTCCCGCCACGAGGCGCCGCGTGACGCGGAACGCGACCCCCCCGCCAATCGTGGAGCACGGCTGCCGCGGATGCGACGCGCGACGCCCCCCTCCTGAGGGCCTTTTGGGCCGTCCGAGGCCCTCTTGAGGCCATCTTGGGCCGTCTTGGGTGCACCTTCGGGCCATCTCGAGCCGTCTTGCCGGCCACCTGGGGCGGCCTGGAGGCACCTCCGAGGCCATCGCGGCCGTCTTGGAGGCCAGCTTGGGCGTCTTGGGGGCTCCCCCCCCCCCTTTGGAGGGGGGCGCGGCGTGGGGGTGGAGGACTGGAAGGAAAGCCCCCCCCCCCGGGGCGCCGACGAGGCGGGTGCTGGGCTGACGAGGGTGGGATCTGGCCAGCGAGAGCACGCGCCTGGGCGCGCCGTCCCCACAAGCCTGACGAGGGGATGTGACGCGTGTTCCTCCTCCTCCTCCTCCTCCTCCTCCTCCTCCTCCTCCTGCTCCTCCTCGTCGTCCTCCTCCTCCTCCTGCTCCTCCTCCTCCTGCTCCCCCTCGTCCTCCTCCTCCTCCTGTTCCTCCTCCTCCTCCTACTCTTCCTCCTCCTCCTTCCTGCTCCTCCCCTCCTCCTCCTCCTCCTCCTCCTCCGCATCCTGCTCCTCCTCCACCTCCTCCTCCTCCTTCCTCTCCTCCTTCCTCCTCCTCCTCTCCTCTTCCTTCTCTTCCTCTCTCCTCCTCCTGCTGCTCCTCCTCCTCCTCGTCCTCCTGCTCCTCCTCCTTCCTGCTCCTCCTCCTCCTCCTCCTCGTCCTCTTCCTCCTTCTGCTCCTCCTCCTCCTGCTCCTCCTCCTCCTCCTTCTCCTGCTTTCTTGCCGCTGCTCCTCTCCCTCCCTCCATCCCGCTCTTCCTCCATCCCCCTCCCCCTCCTCCCGCCACCTCCGTTCCTCTTCCTCCTCCTCCTCCTCCTCCTCCTCCTCCTCACCCCTCCTTCTTTCCGTCCCTCTATATTGCGAAAACAAAATGTAACGCGACCGTTTGTCTATGGGCCTTTCCCGGGGCCGATTCTGACCAGTACGTCGAGGCGAATCCGACCGTGGTGGCGAAGGGGGGTGGCGGCATCGTTGACCACTCCTCCCTGGACATATCCCTCCTCCTTCCTTCCTCCCTCCACCCCCCCCATTTCTCCTTCTGCTCCCCCCCCCCCCCCTTCCTTCCATCCCACCCTCCCGGGCGGCGGGCGAACGCCGGGAGCAGTGCCCACGGCCCGCGCCTCGGAGGGTCAGCGGCTCCCCCGCCGCCCGCAAGCTGCGGCACACGGCGTCCCGGTCGCCCTCGAGCAGCTTGTCCTGCTTTTGTTGCTGCAACTGTTTCTGCGGCTGCTCCTCGCCCAAATCGTGTTCCTTCTCCTGCCTCCCCCTCCTCCTCCCAGTGAGCTGGTGCGCCGGAAGCAGGACATTCCGTCGGATGTTTGAAGGGGCCCAAGGACACACACAAATAAATACACACCAATAACAAGATTCCCAATCTTTTCATATTTGCTGGGTTTCCGTCTTCCCCCCCACTTCCCATATTTTCCGGTATTTTCCTGGGGATCGACGATTCGTTGTGTCTGTGTGTTTTCGTCCCTCCTGAATGTTGCCCTCCCCCCCAGGGCCCGTCGGCCCTGGGGAGGTCGATCGGACGAGTAGCCTCGCGAAGGCGATCTGTGGATGGGAGGTGATCCTAGGAACTGCAGAGGGTGCACGACAGCAGACGAATTTCGGGTCGGGCGAAAGGGGGGGATAGCAAAGGGGGGGTTTCAGAATCAGCTCGCGTAGCTGATTTTCCCGGCGCCTCCCGGCGCCGGAGGCGGCTATGTATCGAAAATCAGCTGCATGCAGCAAATTTCGTACCCCCCCCTTTCCCAATCCCCCCCTTTCGCCCGGCCCGAGAATTGGAGGGGAGAGAGGGAAGCAGGGAAAGGAATACGCGTCGTAAGGGAGGAGGGGGGGGATGGGGAATCTGAGCGGCAAGTGGTTGCGGCGGCTGTGGACGGCGCGTCAGTGCGAGGCGATGGCCAGACCACACCGCGGGACCGCGTTGGGTGCCGCTTGGTTGGGGTGGAGGGATCAAGGCCCCGCCCCTGCTAATAGGCACCTCCCACAGGCTCCCCCCTGGGTCAACGACGGGATCCCTCGCCTGCAAGCAGGCGCAAGGTTCCCAGTTGCTGACCCCGTGGCCGCCTGAGGGGGTTCCACCGAGCGCGGGGGAAGTTTGAGCCTTCCGCGGCGGCGGTGTGGCTGGCGGCGGCAGCGCCGTCTGAGAGGCGTGGCTGGCGGCCACCCTACGGAGCGGGAGGCGCAAAGGCGTTTCCCCCTGCCGGCAGGAAGCAACCGCAGGGGGTCCACCACTCCTACGACGGGGACCCTCGCCGGCAAGCGTGCGCCGGGTTCCCGAACGCAGGGCGGGTGGGCACCTTTTTCGGGGGCTCTACTGAGCGCAGAGGGGAGGATTGCGCCTCCCGTGGCGGTGGCCAGTCTGGTGCAGTATCCCCCCCCTGCAGTCTCGCGCAGTCATGTCCCACTCCCGCCAGTTCGTTGTCTGAGTGGCGGAGGCGCAGCGGCCGGAACATTGGCAAAGGGCCAGTGGTCGGTAAAGAGCCGCCCTGGCCTTCGCTGGAAGGGCCAGCGGGGCCAGCGGTGTCGCGTCGCCCCCGCGCCCGCGTCCGAGCCCTGCCCATCACGCCGCCGCGCAGAGGGCGGAGGAGTAGGTTGGGCGGGCGACAGGCGGGGCGGGGGGGGGAAAGGGGAAGCCAGGGCTGCAGGGCAGTGGGCCAGAAGGGGTCCGGGCTGGCAGGGGCCCGCTCAGGACTGGTGGGCTGGAAATCCACCTTCGAGGCCCCAGCAGTCAGCCGGCGATCAAGGTCCCCGCCAAAGAGACGCACGAAGGAGCTATATACGCTTGTCTGGTGCTGCTTGCGCTCTCGCGGCTCGTGGGTAAAATGACTTATGCGTGGATGAGACAGCCGCGGCGAGTTTTGGGCCCTGCATTACCGTGGGCCCACTGGCTCGCATAGCCCGTTGTGGTTGTGCTCGCCGTGGAGCCGTGCTGCGCGATGGCCCCGGAGATGCTCGCGTGCTAAGGAGGCGCCGTCGCCGCGTGGTGGTGGCTATGGCATCGGAGAAGGTAAGCGGTCGGTGCGCACCAGATGCCACTGCTGCTGGACGCCGAAAGGGCGCCGCTGCTTGGTTGGTCGAAGAGCAGCGCCGACAAGTTGATGCGAGAGGGGAAGCAAGCCAGCGGCGGCGGCCGCCGTCGCTCTGGCGGGGCAAATCTGATCAACTGTGTGGGAGGTGGATCGGCGCCATAATGATGGGCCGCCTGTCGGCTGGCCCTGCTGCGAGGCCTGCGGGATCAGGGGGGCTCCTGATTCGTCGACTAGGTTGACTGGTCGAGCTGGGGCGCCATTGCAAACGATGGCCGCGGTTGCCGCGCTGTCTCTGCCCCGAGCAGGACGGCTGCGTCCATGGCGTTGGCCTCGTCTGTAGCCTGGGTCGTGGCTTTGTCCAGCTCCTCTCCCTGGATGTCTGCCGCGGCTTCTGCTTTCGACAGACGGTGGATCACGTCGTCGATGTCTTGGCCAAGTGTCGTAATGCCTGCGTCTGCGATCATCCTGCGGGTCGGCGCCGTCGGCTGCTGCGGGGCGTTGGTGGCGTTTGCCAGCCATGGGCAAGTGTCCGCGATCAAACGTCGCGGCGAGATCTGGGCAAGATCCGCGGCGATGCGGTCAGGCCCGCTGATGGCGTCGGCGAGGTTGCGTCCGTCGCAGCACCCATGTTGGGCGGCCCCTGATTGTCGTCCTCGCCGCGGGCCGCTGGCTGCCCAGCGGCGCGGCCTGGTGGGGCACCTCCCTGGGCCTCGATCATCGTTGATCTTGGCTCTCGGCGACGGCCACGTTGGCCTCGTTCCTCGGGGAAAACGCGATCGCGAATGGAGCCGGCTCGGAAGAAGGGTTGGAACGCATGCCCAGCTGGATGTGCCCGAGGAAGCCTCGGCGCTGTTGGATGATTCCAGCTGGCGTCGGTGGGTCGTCGCAATTCTCGGCAATCGGGCAGGCCACCGTCGCGGCAAGCTGGTGGTCGACGACATGGGCGCGGATGGCCTGGTTGTGGGCCGCCTTGTAAAATCGAATGGCTGGGGTGCACGGTGTCGGGCGTGGCAGTTGAGGGGCGCCTCGGCTCACGTTATCAGAACGTCGTATTCGTGCCGCATTGGGTTGTTGGGGTTCTGGCCCAAGTAGCGGTCATTCGCAACGGCGCGGATGCCAGATATATACTCCGATGTCATCCTGTGGACGTGGATCTCGCAGGTGGGCGTTCCGCTCGTGTATTATGCTGATGGTGTCGGTCAAGCGCGGAAAGGCTTCATGTTGGCGCTGTCCGTCTGGCGATCCTGGTATCACTCCAATGCGCGGTTGCTCGATGGGCGTGGTGGCCCGCCCATGCGCTGTCCACGTGTGCGGCACGGTCAGTGCCTTCGCTTGGATCGGCGGCGGCTTGCGCGGCACTTTCATCGGAGGCGCGCCGCTGCTGCTCGGAGTCACTGGCCCGCCGCGTGCGCGCGAAGATGTCCTGCGCGGAAGCTTGGAAGAAACTCCGGGTGGGATGGCGGGGTCGCTCCCGGCCTGGCCCCCGCGAGCTCCGTGTTCCAGTCGCCCGCTAGCCCGCGGTGTCGCCTTGCGGGGGCGGCGCCGCCTTCGCTGATGCGATTGGCGTCGGCGTTGCCTCGTGGCGCGACCCGTCGTTCGGCGATGCCTTGCATGTCGGACTGGGTCGTGGATGGATATGCTGCCAATCCTCTGGAAACGGCCAATCCACCGACCGAGCAATAGGAGAGGTGGTTGTCTTGGGACTGGTCGCGTGGCGTTATGTGATCAATGGCGGTTGGGTTTGTCCATATGCGTAGAGCTGCTTGCCTAGGTCACGGTCTGTGCTGGTCGTGAGACTGGTAGATTTTAGCTGCGGGTGGCGCTGCTGTCTGAATCTCCGCGTTGACCCCCACTACACCTTCTGTAATGGTGATGGTGTAGACTTGGTTGCGGACGCTGTCGCAAAACAAGTGGGCGCGCTGCCTGTCGTTGACGAGGTGCTGCGTATCCGCCCTGAGGGTGCCCACTGCGCCCTTGACGGCCGGGTCGGCGATGTGCCCTTCGATGCTGGCAGCCAGGGCATATATGTCAACGTTGGGTGATCTTGCCTGTGATGATGGCGACGCTGCCGCGGGAGGAGGAAGTGGCGGCTGCTGGCTTTTTATCTGCCATCCGTGGGTTGCTGGTCGCGTTGTGGTTGACGTCGGAAGAGCGCTCGTGCTTCCATCCGCGTCGCAGAAACACGTCGCCGCCCCATTCCGCAACGCGGAACCTCGAGGTTCTAGTAGTAGACCTGCGCTTTCAAAATCACTGGTTTCGCGACGGCGCATGCGACCCGCGGCCGCGGCGCTGGCAGCTTGTGCTGGGGAGCGGTTGGCAAGCTAGGCGGGAAGGTTTGCTTGACTCAGCCACCGCCCTAGCACGCGCTCGTTTCGCTTCTGGTTGTTGGGGGGTACTCTGGTGGAGGCGTGCAGATCGGCGGCGGTGGCTCGCTGTCGGCATGGTTGTTGTGGGCGGGGCTCGCGGTCGAGACCTGGCTCGTCGTTTTGAAGTTGATGCGTTTCTCTACTTTCAAGAACAAGTCGCCGCACCTTGCGTGCACGCCCGTGGGCGAGACCTCGTTCGTCGTTTTTGGGGTGCTTGTGGTAGCCGGCGGGAGGCGGCGCGAGCGTGCTCTCCGCGCTAGCTGCGCGCGGCGCAGGCGGGGTTGACGAGAATGTCCACCGGCTCCACTGAGGCGGCTGGCTCTTGAGGGGGCGGCCGCGCGACGGTAATGGCCCTGTGTGGCGGCATCGTGCTGGCCCCGGTGTGATATCCGTTGTTGTGCTCTTTGTATGAGACGTCGGCTGGCGGGTGCTGCCTCGTGGTGGCTATCTGTGGCCACTGTGGGTTGCCGTTGGTGGATGGTCCCAGTTGGAAGTCGCGCCGTACCTCGATCGCGTTGACGTGGTTGATGAGGGCCCTGTACTCTGCCTTGTCGTTGCACTGCAGGTCGATGAGCTCCTCGTCGGTGGATTCGACCAAAGAGACGAGGTCCCAACTGGGCTCTCCTCCGGCTGCGTGAAAGCCTGAGCGAGTCTGAGCGCGAGATGGAAATTCCTCTGCTCGGAGACGAGGTTGACGCAGTGAGGGTTCACCGCCCCTGCTCCTTCGGTCGTCAACGCATCTGCAAGGCACAGGAAAAGCCGTAGAGCTTCGCTCGGATGCTGATGG